GTAGGTCTGGATAAATGAGGCTGGGGGCACTGGCACATAAAAATATCACTATTGCCGCAGATAAACTTCTAACCTCAGGGTACAATTTATTACATCAATAGCATGAAGCTCTATGGGAATTTGAGGTGAGTACCCCCCACTCACATAATGTGAGGAAAAAAGCTTCATATTACATATATTATGAATTCATCATATTACTCACACAAAAAAATGACACAGTATCCTCTGTAATGTGACAGCATATATTATTTATATTGTGTGGATGTCCACAGCAGAAACAATAACATGTAAGGTTCAGCAGAGTTTGAGTGACAGTGAAGAAGTGAGCGGGATCAGATTCCTGACCCTTCGCCCCCACAGTGACTCTGCTGATACCTTATACAGCACACTCATCATAATTGACCAAGAGGGAGTTACCCAGTGTATTTTTTATAGAGTCACGTCCTGGTGAATGTATGATATAATCAGTCTTGGGGGATATGAAAAAAGGTAACTGTATTCCTTAACAGTTACATGAAAAATATGTATATATAATATATCAGATTATTGGTAACATTTTTAGGATGGGGATTACTAGCAGGATTACAATGTTATAATGCGTTTTATAATAAAATAAGATTTATTATAGGAAATCCAAAAGAAACGGAAAGTAATCAAGTGACATTTCTTTTATATTGTGAATCTGCATTGCTGATGACTTTACAGTCATTGTTACGGAATACATTTAAAGTAACCCTTCCAACCCTGGATGTAATATAAACAACATAAAGTTGTATTTTTAGTTCTGTCACATTTTGAGAGGGATATCAAAAGGGTAAATAAATCCTCCCTTCTTCTAATCCACTGAGGAGACTTGTGGGCAGGTAGAATGGCTGACAGGAGCATGGAAAATCCCTTGACATCTTTTTTAGGCGGAGTAACCCCAGTGGAGCTCACAGCAGGCCAGAGCTGTAAAGCCCTGGGGGCAGAGGGCCCCGTGATGAGGCCCCGGTGGTGGCTGATGTGTCCACATTTCCAGACACACTCATCTCCCCAGCAGTTTCTCTCTCTGTGGACTTTAGGGACGGGTGTTCTCCGAGCAATCAGAGGATTAAAATAATTGGGCGTGGAGTGAAACAGTACGCTGTGTGAGAGCGGCAAGAGCGTGCTGGGTCTAATTAAGGGATACTTCACTATGCATTCTGACCATGTACACATAAGCAAACACACTGGCAGTGCCTTGAGACACCGCCGTGATGTGTCAGGGCTGACCACAAGATCCTTTATAATTGTCATTAATTTGATGTGCTCTGGGTTTGAAATAATCTCAGTCCTGCGATGCCATTCATGAAGGATGCGGGTGTCATATCGCCCTGTGTTTGGGTAAAGTAATTAAAATTGCTTCACATGGTGTGACTAATCCCTGCCAGTGACTAACAAATATCAGACACCAGTTTGATTCAATCAGAGAAACTTGCATTACATGTTCCTATGGCAGTTCTACAGCAGTAATCAAAACTAATTATGTTATGAGAAATATGTTTGAAATCATGAAGATACTTCGAAGAATACACTAAGTCGAGAGACAATTCTACTTTCCCAGTGTGTATTTATTGTTTAATTAATTTCCAAAAATACAACATATTATTAAAAGTCCAGGGGTTTTATTGTAAATGATAAGGTGATAGCATTGGCATTTTTGGAAATAAAATCCTAATTAAAAAAACAAAACCAACAATATCTAAGTTCATCCCACAAATTTCCCAAATTGGGATCAATAAAGTACTATCTTATATTATCTCTTATCTTCCTGGCTTTATTTGTTCTGTCTTTGGTGCTCAACCACAAACACATAAGCCATTACTGAAGATGTGAATCTTTAAGTTCTAAAATAATCCTATTGTTTTTGCAGTCACAAGAAACTCTTTTTTTGTTAAAGAGGCTCAGTAATGTTTTCTAAAGCTGTCGGTGTTGTGTTCGGGTCTGCCGTGAAATTATATAATAACATATCATGTATTATTTATATATGCCAATTCGGAAGGTCTCTATAGAAAAGTGTATGATTTGGTGTTCGGGTCTGGGAAGAGTAGCGCATTGAAATGTTGTGGGTAACTTTTTGTCAAATTTGGTCCAATCAAGATTCATCTTTGACTTTAGACAAAGATGAATCTTTATTATCAAAAATACAACAGGATTGTATGGTTATGTATGCATAATATTTTACTTATGATACAGTAAAAACAATATTGGATGATAGTCATTGTTTTTTAGTGTTTTGGAATCATGGGTCAAAATTGACCCGTGAACACAAGGAACAGAAACAGCTTTCAAACACAACACAAGGGAACACATCTGGGAACACATCTGGTGCTTCAGTGACATTTTTGAGCCAACAGCGTGTTCAATAGTGTGGCCCATTGATGTCCATGGAACAAAGGAAGAAGTAATGCCTTTTATACACGCAGACTGTAGGGTCGGTTAAGGCAAAGAGCATTTCAACTAAATTCCTATATCTAAACCAGTCAAAATATATGGTTTGAAATCCCTATATATTTATAAAAACACTTTCTTCTGTCATGACATGATCATTGAGACAGTCTTAATACCTTTACATGCTACATGCAGTGATTTGCAGAGTTCACTGTTTTCTTTTTACCACTGGAGGGCTTGCAGCAGAGCTCAGCGTTACTGAATAACCTTAAAGGGTTTTTGTGTTTGGGAGGGTACACACGCATGCAATCTCTCACGCTGAAAGAACCAAGCACAGGGACTGATTGCTCTGTCCTCGCCTCAATGAGGGGCCCTGCAATACTACGGTATTTGTGTAATGAGAGCCCCTGGTAATTTAATTCACCTCATTTAACCAATAGATGTCAGTGACTAGGCAACAAACAGTAATGTTATTTCTTAACCACCAACACCATCTATCCTGAACTTCAACAACGTTGTTTCAGAATGTCTGGCAGAACAGGATAGATGAGTTGACTTTAAAACAGGTGGATGGCAGCCATCACTTTTCTTTCAGTAGTCAACAACATTGTTTTATTTTAACCACGGACATTAACTAGTTGTTTTTGTTCCTAAACACAAATAAAAGGGATTTTACACACAGTTAGAATATCCGCCATGGCTCTATTTTTATCAAAACAAGGCACTGCCCTAGCAAATGTTTTGGTGATTGTTATTTGTGTTTTTCTTTACAAAACAATAAATGAAAAGAAGGTATCCAGCATAACTATGTTTGAATGCTTTCCATCTGATGGCCTCTGTCTTCTCCATTGAACCATGAGGAGTCCTGCAGGGATGAAGTAATTGATTGTGCTGCATGATGAGTGATAATATCTCGTTATGGCCATATGCATGGAGAGTCCCCCCAGTACTCCCCTTGCCTCGTGCCCTTGATAAATGCGGCTCTGCATTATCTTCACTGGGAGCTAACGGAGCGGCCGGGGCCTTATCTCCAATGACCTCGCAGACCGGGCATTAATCACAAACTGCAAAGGAAGAAATTAGTCTCAGAGCAATCTCCACACAATCTCTAAATGATTAACTCTCAGCCCACTCACTTCTGACATTGCAGCACAATACCATGCCATTTTGAAGAATATAGCCTGCATGCTTGAAGAGGAAAAAAGTGTGGCATGCATGACATCATAATGAGCTGAATTTGCAAGCAGTTAAGAAGATGCTGCTTCATGTACTGCTGCGCCTTTGTCGCCTTCCCCATTGTCCCTGTGTTTATGAGAAAGACACAATTAGCTGCACATAATGAAACTCATTTGGCAAATTATTTAGTGCACTGTTTAGCACAGAGTTAATGAAATGACACTCCCCACATCCTTATCCTCCCTTCCATTATTGAAATAAAACACAATTCATTATCTAATGTATGTCCAAGTGTTTGTTAGAGGGAGACGTCCATTAAAGAATGAGGCGATTAATAGGATGGTTTCGAGTGCGTCTGTGTTACTGCTCCTGACAAGCAATTTGTACCCGAGTGGTAGTTTTATCAGCGCACAACAAAAGGTGTATGTTTAGGAGCAGGCAATTAGAGCTCAGAGAGGAGGCCTGAGGAGGGCGGATAAAGAAATCAAGAGCGCCTTTTTAACTGCGATGTAAATCAAGCTTTTGAACGCGGCTTTCAAACAGTTCCTCCACCCACCATGCAGAGAAGAAGAGTGATTATTTAACATAGGAGACCTATCTCTCCAGTGAGCTCATTTGCTTTGCGAAATGCTTGATGGGAAACGACTCGCTGGTATATCGAGCTGAGCGCTCATTGGTGGGTTTTACCCCGTGCTGCTGATGAAACTCTCCAATTGGCTCGGCAAACGTTTGTTGTTGTTTGGTGTCAGTTTTACGTCGCCACTTCCATTACATTTTTCATCATTGTTCCACAATGTTTATCATCATGAAATTAATATCTATATATGTTATACTATACTTGCACTGCTTACCGTTTTCATACTTTATATATCTTAGCATATTCATACACACTGTTCATACTGCTCACAGGCTGCTGTGTATATTCATACCCCTCACTGTTTATTCATCATTCAATTCATTCTATATTTTATTCTGTAGTAGATTGTGTACATTACTTTTCACTTTACTGCTTGTTGCACTCCTGGTTGGAAGGTAAACTGCATTTCGTTGTCTCAGTACCTGTAATATGTGCAATAACAATAAAGTTGAATCTAATCTTGAGCAGGAACAAATGTATTTACTTAGTACATATCTGACATTAACGATTAAAAACACATGTGTGCATTCTTTATAAATACGAACCGAGTCAAGCCGACTCCGGAGGTGGCGGTATGCACCATAAAGTTGTTTGCAATCCTCCAAAAAACCGAGAGGAGAAGGAAGAAGAAGAAGAAGGAAGAAGAAGAAGGAAGAAGGAAGAAGGAAGAAGAAGAAGAAGTCGACTCGGAGCTGTCCGACTTCAGGCGAGCTTTTTGAGACCTCCCCCGGCTGCGATCGGCTATTCTCTTCTACTTTCGACGCGAGCCGCAACGCGTCTCAAACAAGCCTACTGCTTCTATGGAATAGGAAGTCCAGGGTTGAAGCTCTGTTCGAAGCTTCAGTGTCAAACTGCCACCACTAGTCTTGGCTGTCTGCTGTTAGGTTTCTTGTGAAAAGGCTTTACCACCTTTGTGGAAGAAGGATTTCACATCATGGCGTTAAACCTCACCATCAACACGAGCAATCCGCCTCTAGGTGAGTTGCAGCCTGAATAAATACTTGCTCTTTGAGTCCTGTGCATGAATGTAGTGACAGCTGACTAGCTAGCACCCCAACAAACGAGACAAACTATATTTATAAACTCTCCCTCAATGTTTTTTTCATCGTATGTAATAATAATATAGATATAACTATCTCTTATAAAGTAAGACAATTGACCAGTTGCTAGGATTTGCTTGATTCGGAAGATATGAAGACACATTCAAATAAAATATTGAAAGTTAATATTATTGTTAGAAGTTGTAAACCAGCAGAATAACATGGCTAATATTTGCAACTCAACAATGGAATGAGTTTGGAACCAGCCAAGTTGTTTATTTTTGCAATAAAGGCTACGTCTGTAACATGACCTATAGGAAATAAACCTGGTATGGCAGTATGTCCTTATAAGTTCAAACTGGGTGTGTAGTTAGCTAACAAGCTAACGTTAGCAAGCTTGCAGTCGTGGCACTGAAACACAGCATGTGGACAGTTCGTTAACATGTCCTTTTTAATGACAGCAGCTACCTTTTTAAAATGTTAATATTCCACCTTTGAACGTTCACTATGGCATGCATATACCCATGCAAAAAGTCATCACGAGCTTGGAAATGCACATGGCCAAATAACACACATTTTATTATGAGCCGATGACACTAGCTAAAAGGTTAGCTGAGCTTGTCGGTTTAGGTAAATACATACTTAGTTACATTTCTATAAAAAGTATCTAGCGTTGAAATTTGACATATTTTATTGATATTGGAAAGTATTCTGTGTTAAAGACATTCAGAACAAGGCTTTCCTGAGTTTAGTATGCCATTGCTTTGTACTACAATGAGCTAACCCACTAGCTTTGACAGCGGGTAATAGCGCCTCTTGCGTGTATACAGAGTACAGCAGACTGATGCAAGCAGCTGAAACGTGGAGGGTTGTATTGGAAATGTTATTTATTTTATACATTTTTTGCAACCTGGTTTATTTTCGTTTTAACACCAGCACTTGACCTTAAAAGTGTAATACTGGGTAGCCTTGGTCAATTGTTTTCTTCTGTAGAAAACCCGTTACCTGTGTTGATATTAAGTCCATGGCATTACAAGAATGTTTATGCAAGTACTCCTGACATGTTGAACACCACAGTTTTAGGAAAGCAGTACTTCTACGAAAGGTGCAGGCCACATAAAACACTGCAGTGTAGAGGACCAGTTAAACTGGTTCACAAATGTTCTATGAAGATTGCCTGCAGTCATACAGGTTGTTATGTTGCACTCAAGTCCCCTTTTAGATAGAGGGGCCAAACCTATTTAAAGAATACAAAACATCCAGGTGCCTTTTAACATAATCTTTCTAGATGCAGTTGGTTTATTCTTTTAGGCCCAGTCACAACAATCAAAACACTAAATTGTTTCCTCTCTCCTGCAGGAGCGCTTCTGGCAGCAGAGCATGTGAAGGCCAGTGTGCAGATATCAGTGGAGGAAGGCAAAGACACCCGGCTTCAAGTATCTGAGTAGGTAGCACCATTGTTTCAAACTGTTGAATGTGCTTAAAGTAATACTTTCAATATTTTTATATCTCACCCTGTGTTACTCTTGAGTTTGTGAACTCTACTACAAGTCTTAATGATTACTGTTTTCCAAACATGTGAATTTATTTTGATAAACCCTACTTATTTAAAATCCTTCTGCATCAACAGTTTGCGCAGGCGTGCTATTTTTTGTTTATGCTAGGGTGATTGAAATGCTAAGTAATGGAGATTATACTGCACAAGTTGTGTGGGAGTTTTTATTTTGATGTTTTGATATATTCTTGCTTTTGCTAACCAATCCTTTTTCACATAATTTGATCAAGAAGGTTTTTGGATTGTTCGTCAACAGTGAGAATTAAGAATTAAAGCAACTGCCGCATACATTACTTGGTAAACTGTTGCCCATGTCCTAGGGCTCAGTCCCTGCTGGAGCGAAATCAGATCAGAAATTCTTTATCCGTCCCGCAGCAGAGATATTTATAGTTTTAACAAAAGAGATAAAAGGCAAGAGTAAAAATAGCGGACTTGCATATAAAATACTGAGGCAATCACATATGAATACAAATAAAAACATACAAAAAACTGGTTCAAATCCGGCCTGTGGACTCTTTACACATGGTAATAAAGGCTAAACTGGCCCAAAAATAAGCTTAGAAATTAAAGAGTTAAAGCTAACACATTGTGAGCTGCTGATATGAAAATGATAATTTAATGGTTGAAGTGTTCCTTTTTTAAATATCATATGTAGAAGGTATGTATGCTATAAGATTAGAATGTTCTAATTAATTTCTACTCTGTTCTCCTTCCTTTCCTCAGTGCGATCCAGTTCAATGACACCAACTCTATCAGTCGGTACCTGGCCCGAGTGGCTCCAGCTCTTGGCCTCTACGGATCCAACATGATGGAGCAGACCGAGGTGTGTGCTTGTGTGTGTTAGAGATTTTCTGTTGTGTTATTAAGAGTGGTTTCCTCATTCGAAATACTGTCTGGTGTGTGCAGGTGGACCACTGGCTGGAGTTCAGCGCTCGGCGTCTGTGTGGTCAGTCTGGTGTGAGTGCGGCGCTGGGGGAATTGGATAAGGCTCTTTCTCTGCGCACCTTCCTTGTCGGACAATCTGTCACTCTGGCTGACCTGTCTGTGTGGGCTTCCCTCAAAGGTCAGTACCCTGCAGGATGTACCAGTGCCAGAGAGTGGTGTAGAGATGAAGTCTTTTTTTATAGGCCCTGCCGGAGGTTAACATTGCAAGAGCTCCCTTGACAAAAAACACATTTTCCATTGGATGATAGCAGAAAATCCGCCTCGACGCCATCACAGGTTTATGATACTTCCGCATTGTGTTCAGCAGGATAATCCCCACCTATTGCCTCTGCTTTTATCATTTTCGGACCGTAAATGCAAAAGTAAAATTGGCAGATGTAAAAAGCTTACTTTGGGCTATAAATGAACAACCTCTAAGCTAAATGCGGTTAATGTTTGCCGTGATGCAGTTAGAAGTCTCATTTACATAGTTTTTTGCAACCACCATTTATTATAACACAAGTTCAGGACAATAATTAGAGCAGGAGAATGGCAAAAAGCAAAAAAGAGAATGCAAGACATAAAATTAAAGAGCAAAAGTTAGCAACTTCGGACATTAAGGAGAATTAGAAGAATTACTGGCGTATTTTATGTCGTTGTACAAAATGGCCAAATCTCTTAAGCTTGTGTTTACGCCAGACCTTATTTTAGGCATCTAACCAAAATCTTTGACTTGAACCAGAAGTTGTAAAGTGCTGACTCATTCCCCGGTTTTTATTAGAATCAGAATCAGAATTCCTTTATTAGTCCCGCAGCAGGGACATTTACAGTGTTTAAGGACTCATTCCTGCACCACTCTATTATCCCTGTCTGTGTTGGTGTGGAACATGTGTTGGAATGCAGCCCTAAAGGTTGTGGTTGTTTCTCTGCAGGTCATGCGGAATGGCCGAGTCAGGGCAAAACCTGTTCCCACGTCAACCGCTGGTTCTTCTTCCTGAGCTCTCAGGTTCCCTTCACGGCTGTGGGTAACAAATATGCCAGCAAGAAAGCTCCAATGACCAAATCCAACGTAAGTGTCATTTCAGATATAATCAGTGATGCAAATTAGTCGCTTTTCGGCGCCTCCCGCTTTTTTAACGCTGCTTTGGGTGACTTGTGTAATTCGTGGAGAACCGAAGAGTTTTCGTTTTGGGGGGGGGGTTCGTCAGTCCGTCCGTTAGTCCGTCCGACTGACGGACAACTTCTCACTTCAAAAAAGAAGAAGAAATCTAGATCGCAAAATAATTAAACAAGCGAGTGCCTGTTTTTTCCTGGCCAAGGACAGGTTCCTTGAACACAACACGTGACGTGTCTTCACGTGGTTATGTCTCGTCTGAAAGGAGTGTAGACTAGAGTGCTGACGGAGAGCAACGGAACGCCGCTCCAGCTCTTCAAATATTGCAGTACCCATAAGGAGCCGTACACATGCCGCAGTGTTTGCGTCGCTGTGTCTTTAGTTGTAAGCACAGTGGTGATCTGTTATTAGCATCTGGTTAGCTAGCTATGCTAACGAATTTAAAGAGCTTTTCTACAACCAGGTGGAAGAGAGCTCTCTCCTGAGAGGCTCAAATAACCTCAGCTCAGTGAGGTTAAGGCACATCTTGATATGATCATTATAATTTATTAATGAGACATTAGAGACTAAATGAAAAACAGGTATAAAATACTATATGACAGTAACAAAAAAGTTGTTAAAAATAACAAGAATAGAGTTTAAAAGGNTGTACTAACAGAACTTCCAAGAAGTCTAAAATGATAATATTATACATGTTAATCCCGTTCGCAGGTGTTTGTGTGCTTGGTAGCTTAGCTTGTTACTTATTAGCCAGCTAAGGACGTAACCCTTTATACATACATATACATTTTAGTTTATGATTCAGCCTTGGGTAAGACTTTATAGGCTATGATGCCCATAAGGCTAAACGGGAGCAAATGTTAATAGGGGACCCAATTATCCCAGTGGTGGCCGCCGGAGCTAACGGAGCCGCAGGGGGCTAGCTCCAGCCGCGTCCCAGAGCTAGCCCACTGGGGGGCGGGGATGGAGTCCGTCGTTATAACTGGAGATCAAGGAATGCAGTGAAACGCAGACTTTGTTCGCCTGCTGTAGTATAAGCTAAATAAATTATGTTGAACAAGGCTTATTAAGCTGAACATCGCCACAATTGTTCTGCTATGTATCGGTACTTATTTTCTTAACGTGTGAATGACAAGCATTAAGAATAACAAAATATAGCTAATTCTCTTGCAGATTGTCTCATTTGATTATGAATGTAACGTTTATATAGGGGAACTACACTGTTAGCAGTAACTTGGTATGCATGTATTTCATGTTTGCTTAGCTTCTTAGCCTGAGCTAGCTCTGTTTACTTTCAGCTCGGAGGCAGCAGGTCCCGCCTCGGCTCCGCCTCTTTGCCCTTATTTGGAGCAGGCTGGATTAGGCGGGAGTTGAACTCTGACGTCACTGTCGAGCCGTCAGTGGCCGACTCCGCCTACTAAGGGCTTCTCGGCAACTCTGCAGAATCCTATGGGTGACGTCACAGACACTACGTCCATTTATATATACAGTCTATGCTGCTAGTACATCCATTTGTTTATAGAGAGGAGCTCACAGGTGGCTGTGAGGGGTGGGGGTGGGGGGGGAGCGAGCAACTCAGAGACAGAGGGCCTGTGGGCTGGACTCAGCAAAGCTGTTGAGAAACAATTATAAAGATATTTTCATTAAAAGAAAAATAGGATTGCAGGATGGTTTGGTGTGCACAATTGTGTTCCAAAACACAGACTGGAAGTCATGAAACTCTTTATATTCTTAATACTGGTTGGCTTTTGTGCCAAAATGTAAATTTGCTAACCCATCACTTTTTTAAATGTTAATGCTAACCCATCACTTTTCAAAATGTTAATGCTAACCCATCACTTTTCAAAATGTTAACCATCACTTTTCAAAATGTTAATGCTAACCCATCACTTTTCAAAATGTTAATGCTAACCCATCCATGTCCCACACTTTTAGAATGTTTAATTCATTCCTGCATAAGAATCATGCCAAACAGTGTCCTTTGAGAACAGTGGAAGAAGACAGGAGCTGATTGAGATGTTAATGCATTTATCTCTTTTAGTGTGGTTAGTGCAGTAATCCTAATGAGCAGCAATGAGTGCTTTGTGTTCCTTGTTGCCCCTCAGACCTGTAGACTGCCCACCTGTTGGTAGAGGTTGTTGTAAGCTATACATAACCGCCTTGAATAAGAGAGGGCACCACCCAGGAATGAAAAACTTAGTTCTCTGTATTTCAGTGACACTGAATGTGTTTGCCATCAATATTCTCCTGAAAAGAGGACTGAGCATCAATCAGAGACAAATACATTCAAAGAACCTGATTTTAGACTAGGATACAAACTCGGCCAGGTAAAAGGGTCTGTGATATTTGTACAATGTGACTCAAAAACTGTTAGGGTTCATTTGAATGATTATTGTATAATACACACATTTATTAGCAACCCTAATATAAATACCCATGTATAAAAAAAAAATCTAAATCAGAGAAAAGCTTTCAGACATGTTATCTACAAAGGGATCCTGCGGCTGTTGGCTGAGGGATGGAATGTCACGGCTGCATGACACCGGCCCTGCTTGGGGCCCTACTGGGGGACCCTGGGTACAGGGCATATGCTCTGGCAAAAAGGGAGGCTGGCATGCAGCATTCCACCCCCGGCTCTCTAGAGGAGAATGTCAGAGTCAGACGCTGGCTCATGATGGATATCAGCTATGACTGAGAGGGGAAGTCAAACTGTATCTGCCCCCCCCATCACAACAACATACAGTACAGCCCCCTCTTCCTGCAGCCCTACAGGGATACAGTTCTATGCTGAATCCTACTGTCCAAATATGTGGACTGCAAAACAGAAAAACCACTACTTTGGTGAATCCTGAAATATTTCTACAGATATTGGATGGATTGCTTGAGTACAGACATTCATATATTTTAACTCTGCAGTCCCATAATGATTACTCATAAAACATTAGTTTTTGATATCTATTTTCATTATTGCAAGGTTAGATCGAACCTCTTCATCTCATCTCACACTTCATTATAAGAGTCATATACGGAACCTATTCTCCTCACACTGTACAAATGTGCGGTGCAGCAAGTACTTACACAAGCTAAAGTGACTAAATATAATCTCTTGAGCTATAATGACAAAATGATATGTAATTGATGCTTCGCAGCAAGAAAACTGTTGAAATAAATCTACACTTCTGCTAAAAGCATGATGGTTACAGTAGGTTGCTTTCTTCCATTGCCATTTTCAGTAGTTCAAGGCATGAAGTCTGGAACCGGATCCAGCAGGAACTCAGCAGGTCAGCTGATCCCCCTTCTGCTTCAAAGCTGCTGCTATAGATTCACCTTACACGTAGCAAGTTTTCCCTGAGCAACAGCTGTGTGTGGGAGTCTCCTCCATCCTCTCTGCATTGTTGAGCTACTCCTCCAAAACTCCAGGCCCTACTAGGCTTGTTTGAGACGAGCTGCGGCTTGCCTCGGAAGTAGACGAGAATAGCCAATTGCAGCCGGGGGAGGTCTCAAAAAGCTCGCCTGAAGTCGGACAGCTCGGAGTCGGCTTGACTCGGTTTGCATTTATAAAGAATGCACAAATGTGTTTAATCGTTAATGTCAGATATGTACTAAGTAAATACATTTGTTCCTGCTCAAGATTAGATTCAACTTTATTGCATATCTGACATTAACGATTAAACACATTTGTGCATTCTTTATAAATGCANTGCAATCACTATCAAGACACTGGTACTTGCGTACCATGCTGCGACGATGGATCTGCGAGGCCTTCCTACATCCCAGGACATGGTTAGACCGACACCCCAGCACTCCGCTCTGCATCAGGCCAAACAGCTTCGCTGCACCCGCATTGCCTCCGAGTGCACCCAATTCCCGTCAGCAAAACATACGTAGAGGAGGTTTAGCTATCCTGCTCCAAGTACTGCAGGTGCGAGCCAGAGCTTCCCACTTGAAAATCAGGCGTTAGGTTTTAAAGGGCAAAGCTGTTGTCTGTTGGATTAATGCCATATGTAAGCCTATGTTTAATGTTTTTCAAATGTATTTGTTTTTCCTTTATGTTGTGGCTTCTGAAGATCTTACCATGGGGCTCTACAACTGGCTGGTATATTGTTTCAGATATAATTATTTGACCATACAATTTAAGTGAGATAATAATTGCGTAGCGAGTTATTGAATGAAAATTGTTAGGTGCAGTTGGCTCTGGACAGGTATTTAAGGACGATTGCCTACAGCTTTCTGATCCATAAAATCTCATCGTTTACAGATATTTGGTAATATATGCAAAATGGAAAATGTCTTATAACCAGTTTGTATTAACATTACCAGTCACTGAAAGTCACAACCCCAGCGAAACTTCGTAGAAGTTGAGTGCAGGGAAATAAGGGAAAATGTAAATGAGACCTTTGAAAAGCACTTAATGGCCTGTGTTCTGAACAGTCTGTTTGAGCATGAGTAATAGTTTTCTGTCCAAAGAAGTAGATGATGCACTCAGTGGAAACTATTTCGAGCGTTTCTTCTATGTTTGAAATGGACAACCTGACAATGTGACATCAACGAATTTAACCAATTAAATAAAAATCTTTGCGAGACTTTCTAAGCCTTGACTAATATGTTTTGGTGTGGTAGAGCTTTGAGATTTTACAGCCGCAGGCCAATGATCAGTTAGAAACCCTTGGCACAATATGCTGATCTTACCATAGGCCAACTTTGGTGATCAACCTTCTGTCTTCTTTAATAATCAGCAGCATTACATAAGTGGATCTAATGCAATAGTTAATATTCATCATGGGCGAGAACCAAGTACTTAGTGGGCAAATGAAAGAGTAACTTACAATACAACTTGGTTAAAAAGCACTTAAGTATCTAATATTAGAATTGGACACAACTAAAGTCATATATTGCACGATAGGATGACGAATGTGATGTATAATTAAGGCTGGTCTCTCTCCACTCTACGGTGAGTATGTTGCGGCTTCTCCTTTGCTCGCTCTGTTCTGCTTTCTATATGACTAGTATGCTCCTCTCTCCACCTTCGTTTCTTTCCCCACAGGACGCCGAGGTCGAGATGCGACCTCGTAAATCGCTCTGCTGATGTGAGTTGTGAAGAGCCCAGGTCGTGGGTGGGTGCCGTGCAAACGCTACACAGGATAGCTGTAGCGATCACTTTTCCTTCTTATGAAAGTGACACCGGTTTCTCTTTCTTTGCGTGACCACGCCGTTCATCGGATCATATTATATATAGGCTATGTATCTGCTGTAGCCTGGCTACGACGACAGACCGGAGAGTGTTGCAGTTCAATATGACACATAAACTAGTATTGTTTTTTTACCAAATCCTTTAGTTTAGGTACCGTAATTTTCGGACTATAAGGCGCACCTGAATATTAAGCCGCAGCAGCGGCATACCACTCTCGGTTCCACTTTTACTTTTGCGCGCTACCTGTTTCACTCTTTTCCGGCCTCCAGCTTTTCCTGCTGGAACCCGCCGCTTAAAGGTGGGGGTCCGCGGACCGGCCATAGAGCCCATAGAGTTAAAAGTGGTGGCCGTTAGCTGTAAAAATCCATAGATTAGCCGCACCGTTATATAAGCCGCAGCGTCGAAAAATGGGAAAAAAGGCGCGGTTTATAGTCCGAAAATTACGGTAATCGTACTTCCTCATGCACAATTAACATTCAAGATATGAAGAATATTAATCAGCTGGGTTCCGACATATGGTTATTTGTAACAGAAAGTAAATACACATGAGAGAGGTGCAAAGCTAATAAAACGTCTCAATGTAAAAAATGTCATGTTTTTTCTCGTATGTTCTCCCAACAGAACTTCATTAGTGCTACTTTAATTCTGTATACTTAATATACTTACAAGCAGGGATATTTATATGTAATGTAACATATATAGTCCTTTTGCTATCAACTTTATCTGAGTTTAGGTTTATTTCATTATGTTAGATTGTTGCATGTTACACAAACTGGCATAGCACTTATTATATGTTCCTTTACATAAGGCCTGGGTAAAAACAAATCCCCTTTAACATTTTAACACACTTATAAATTATAGCCAAGAGAATTAAAATCTCAAGCATAAAAAAAACCGTTCTGATCCTCCCGCTCCTTGATGAATATGCATTAGAGAGGCGAGAATACATAGTGTATAGTCATGACCAACATGTAACATGCAAATGTGTTTCAATGTGTGCACATGTGCATGCACGTGTTCTTCATGGTCCATGCATGCTTCAGTGAGTGAATATGAGCCATGGAAGGGAGTCTGTGCGTCTGCTGAGCCTCACCGGTATTGGCTGAGGTAGTTGAGAGGTGGCGGTGGATTACAGGTCTCGTAGGTATCCTGGACCGGCATCGGCAGGGACGGCCTGGTGAACAGCTGCTGGTCCTGGGTCAGACTGCTGCGGAAGGCCTTACGGGTAGTGATGGCCTGCAGAGACACTGAGAGAGAAACAGACGAGGAAATAGAGTTAATTATATTCATTTTGCTCAAGGGCAAGATTGTATTTTATAGGAAAGTCGTGAGACGTGTAAAAGTGGTTTTAAAAATAAACTGAAAAGGTTAATTAAACCATATTCAAAACAAAGAACTTCTCTGACAGTAATATACAGGAAGTAGTAACAGTAACACAAGTAGCATTAACATGAGGGAGACCTTACCCTCCTCTTCTTTGGGGTCCAGCTGGGTGACTTTAACCTGCAGTTGGTCCACTCGATCTCCCAGTGTATTGACTCTGATTGCGAATGCTCCAGCCTGGACAAACAGCTCCCCGAACACATCCTCTGCATATTTACCTACACACAGAAAGAGCTTCATTATTTTCATTCATTAAAAGGAATCCTTCACCTTGAAAAATATCCCTTGTATATCAAATACTTAGCCGATGTAACCTTGAATTAGTAACACTTTTTTTATCTCATATGCTTCTGCAGAAACATTCTACGCACAAACTAGTAGCACGGCTGCGTAAGCCTGAGGCGGACGATGAAGAAGAGTTTCGAATAATAAGGTTTAAACCAAAATGCATGTGTTTGGGATGCAGAGTAAATATGACTGCATTAGTTTTGGATAATACTTCAAAAGCAGTGAGAGTGTGTAAACATATGATTTGCAGTATTTACAAACACTCCCTATTTACTTTAAGTCATTCAAGATTTTTCTAACCGTGGAGGCCTGCAAGAAGAAAATAAATATTCCCCATAATTCAAGCTAACAAGTAGTGAGTAATTGATATATGAATAATTGTTCATTTGAAGTATTGGTTTTACGCAAGCACAATCAATGCATATTCAGAACTACATTCAAATAAAACACGTGCAAATAAACACATGTCATACACATTTGCAACATGTGGAAATTATCATATTTTAATGACATAATGACACCCGACCCCACACAGCAGACACTCACTGAGGCTGCCCAGCTGGCGGATGATGTTGGCCAAGCTGATGTTGGTGACACATTCCAGCTCACTGCGGATGTTGACAGGGATGGTCTGGCGACACACATGCCGCGGCTCGATATTCCTCGTTACCAGAGGCATGGTGGGGTGTTGTGGGAAGTGGGGCCCAACCCTGGTGGGTAAGAGGAGGTGGGTCATTTGAAGGAAAGACATACAACACAAAAGTGACTTAAAGACAGCACGAATACATATCATCATCTATAACAGGCAGTTTCGATACCAACTCTTTATCTCAAATATTTTAGAGCTTATCGGATTCATATTTTCAAGCAATTCACCTTCCATTAAGTGTCAAACATGACAGTTCCCAGCATCTCAAATGTAACGATTAGCTGCTTTTTTTAATTTTTGTTGGTTCAATAAAACATGATTTTTGATAATAAATAGATGGCTTCATAGTGATAAGAATTGTTATTTCTATCCCAAAATGAGTCACTCGTGACCGAGACACGTATGTATAAATAAACCCCAAGCCAGACAGAGTTAAAGCAGAAGCAAAACTAAAAGCCACGCTCTTACTCCCGGAAAACATCAAGCTGACACCCAGTTTTTGTGTCGCCACCCAGAAAAGTCAACATACAAAGAAATACAATTGTTGCCGATGGTAATATCAGTATGATTTCTACACCATTAGGCTTACAGCAGTGTCGATATTCATAATTATATCGTACAAATCACAGTCAGTGTGTGACAAAGTAAACTCCCCACACAAAGCAGTAACTCTACAGTGCTACATGGTATCTGTTCAGAAAATGACAACTCCCATAGGTGCTCAAAAATATGCAGACTTCAGACAGAATTGAGCTTACTGTAAGTATACCCTGCTATGCTTCCTATTCCCCTAATTACAAGTGTTTAATGTTAATGCTGGGGCTACAGAGAATAGTGAGGTCATGATACAAATGGCCAGTGGTAGAAGAAGTATTTAGATGCTTTACTTGAGTAAAAGCACGACATCATTACCTTATTCTCAAAATAAGTAAAGGTCCTGCTTTCAAAATCTTAATTAAGTAAAAGTAGACAATTATTATCAGCAACATCTATTTAAATGATAAAAAAAAAGTCAAAGTAATCATTGTGCAGGAAAATGGCCTTTATGTGAGTATATAATTATATATGTGACATTTCTTGACAGTATTGTTGCAACCAGTAGCATTTGGTCAGAATCCAAAAGCATTTTAAGTACTTGTTGACTTTTTGTAAAATATAAAAAATGATTTGACTCTTTTGTGACTTAGTAACCTAGTCCACTAGCTTGAATTGTAAACATTTATTTTGTTAAAAATGTGCTAAAGCTGTTAAATAAACATAGTGGAGTAAAATGACATTATTTATCTAGGAGTACAGTATAGTAAGTAGCATAAAATGGTACCACAAAATTGGACTTAAGTAGAGACCTTGAGTTAATGTAGTTACTTCCCACCTCTGCAAATGGCAATACAAGGTGTATTCAAATCTGTACTTTGCTTTGGGTTGACAGCCCTTTTGTCATGCGTGTTTTCAACCCGAGAATGCTTTAGTTTAAGTTCAGGTTAATCTAGTTATTAATGATAAAGTGGAACTGGTTACAGCTGTACCACACATAAAGCTCCGCGCTGTGCGGTCAATGTGTCAGTAACGTACAGTCATTCTCTGAGAAATTCACAAACCGAAATTATAAATGTTTAAATATATGTAATACCTTGTAAGAAAACAATGCACATTATTGTGAAAAGCCGCTACTAGAGAATCATTCAGGCATAAACGGTTCACTTTACGCCCACAACATTAGCTAAAATGGGCTAAAATTTGGGATCTCGGCCTTGTCAGAGCAGGAAGTAACTTGTAGGCGCTCCTTATCTCGAAGAAACAGCCACACAAAGGTATGTTCAAACCCCCTCACTTTACGGGAAGAATACCGACTTAATATACTTTACTTACCGTCAAAATTGGCAACTGTAGACTCTCTCTATACAATGGTTGTTATCCGGTCTCAAGATTTCCACAAGAAATGTTAAGCGGTACAGTACATGGGCGAGCTAAACAGATTCCTCAAGTCCCGGGATTCAGAACTTCTGATTGGACGAGGGACTGAGATGCTCAAAGCTGATTGGCTACTGCGCCTGTCATTTGTTTTCGCTGAGAACAGGATGTGGAAATGTCAACGCAAAAAGCGCAACTCCACCCTGATTAGTGGCCAACATCTGTCCGTAATTTGCGTAACCAAGGGTGGGGAAGAGACAAATTCCTACGTGCGCTTCAGCGAGCTGGAACGCGTCCGAGGAATGACTGGCATTGGCCGTTATGCATAAGAGCTCACTGTGGAGAAAACCACTTATGAGGACAAATAATAATGTCCCGTGAGCGGTGAGTCTTTCTTGTTTGGTGTTAAGTGCATCCTTCACCACAGCTTAAACTGGAAGTACACACGGTTTATGGGATGTGAGGCCATCAAGCCTCCAGTAAAAGGTTAAAACATTTATCCAAGTATGGGAACGTGTTGTAAATGATATTGACACAATTTGTTTAAATGCTGCAATAAGTAATTATAGCCTTGTCTTGTGGCATGGTGCCTAAATGTTGGACGTATTTGTTTTGGAATTAGGCAATTATTTCAGTCACTTCGTATTTATTTTATTACATCGTAAGTGTTTAAAGGAAAATGCAAACTTAGTAACTAAATTAATACTCTTACAATTCAATGGAAATAAACACACACCTGCGCCTAAAATCAGCTTACATGTCACATAGATCATAATTATATTGGTATACTTGCATATTCTATATTTTGATTGACTGCTGGCTTTATTTCATATTTTATTATTGTATCAATGCACATTTATACAACTTTCTTTTCTTCTTTGTATATTTTACAGACACTCATCAGACACCTTGTCTCAATACAATCTTCAATGTAAACAATTATTGCACATAAAAAGCATTTAACTCATACAAAGATGTACAGAAATACATTAAATAAAGCTGAATCTACATTATCGGCTGAATATACATTCAAAGTCAAGTCAAGTATCAAAATGATTGCGTATTGCATATTAAGTGGTGCACTGTATGACATAACATTATATTGAAAACATCGCACTTCTGAAAATAAATAAATGACAATGTGTAGCTACCTCAATATTTGATCAAATGAGTTTCCATTATCTACAGACAGAACAGTATTTCAACTGCGGGTGGAGTCACACAAAGCCAGATGTTTCCATCGCCACTAGAGGGAGATCACATCATGTTAAGAACTGTTATAGAAAAAGTTTCTTGTAAGATAAGGGCATCAACACCGACAGTTTTTGGATTGACCTTCTCCTTCCTGTTTGAGGGCCATCCACAATGTCCGGTCGTGTGCGTGTGCACCTGTGTTCATTCATTCAGTGTCATCGCCTTGTGTTGGCCCAGCTCAGTGTGTATGAGCTGTGAACATGTTCAACTGTCTGTTTGAGCACACTGCCTCCCTCTCCTGCTGAGCTGTGGACCAGCTGGAGTCCAGAGGCTTGGAGACCCTGTAGGACACTGAACCAATAGCGGAGCACTTCCTCATTTGTCCCGCCCACCTCAAACCCGGCCCATTGCAGGTGCACTGTGGCAACAATGTGATGGACACTCTGCAGAGTTTCTGACTCAATCCAATTCTGGAAAACTCTCCACTCAGCACTCAGCAGGTCAGCATACAGGAAGTGAACCTATAGAGAATACAGAGAAGAGAATATTGAGTGATTATCATCCTGCAGGACGGCACAATCAGGTTTTCACAATCCAAACGTGAATACGTGAAATACCGGGAATCTGTTTTTATTGATATTGCAATGGGTGAGTGTGTGTTGGAATACACAAGAATTGTAAAATCTGCTTTCCAAAGCATTCCTGTTGCTTTGTAATCACAAATCAGTAAAAACACATACTTTAAAGCTAAATTCAAACATAATTACATTTTAATATATAGAAGTCATGACAAATTTGTCTTATATAACGACACATTATCTTTTCTATGGACTGTCTATGTTGTGAATGTATTATCTTATTAATCTACACACATGACACCTATTGCATGTTTGTCAGTCCTGGGAGAGGGATCCCTCCTCTGCCCTCCCCAAAGTTTCTTCCGTTTTTTCCCATTAACTGTGGGGTTTCTTTGTGAGTATTTCTTTGTCTGATGTGAGGATCTAAGGACAAAGGGTGTTGTACTCTTCAAAAATGATAAACCCACTGAGACAAGTATAACATTTGTAATATTGGGCTATATAAATAAACTGTAATTTATCGATTGATTGAGCTTTTTTATGATGTCAATCCACAAATAACCAGACTGTAGGTATATAGTTCCCTCTTGTGGCTGCAGGAAGTAACCAGCGTGTGATTCACTCACTTTAATTGTTGCCATGGCAGCCAGGGATGGCGCAGAGCCCTGTTGCTATGGGAACGTAGAAGTAAGAGAGCTTTCTGGGTATGTTGGGGTGAAATTATTATGAAGGTACGTATGTTCTCGGCACTGTTTTTCCACTTATCCATGTGTCTGTGTGTGTGTGTGTGTGTGTGTGTGTGTGTGTGTGTGTGTGTGTGTGTGTGTGTGTGTGTGTATTACTGTGTGATGTCCCAGTGCAGCCATGATGTCTGCCAGTGTTTGAGAAACACTTCCTCGGTTGCCTCTCGTCTTGTGCTTGCGCCTCTTTGGAGCCCGCCACTCCAGCCACATCTTGTGCCGGTGGACCACCCCTCTGTCATCATGGTTACCGACCAAACTGTTGCCAAGGTGACCACCAGATGCATTGGAGTTGCTGGGATCAAAACTGTGTACTTCACATCCCAGCCCTGACACTGTCTTTAGAAAGTCTGCATCTCCTCCATCCATACTGAAGAGACAAAGACAAATAAAGAGAGACAGTGAGCAGAGGGGGGGTTTGAAGATGATTGCATGCATGATTAAATATGCATTGTTTATTCTCACTCTGCCAGCGATATGAATGCATAAGCATCCCAGCACATGCACTGAGACATGGGTATAGTGTAGAGACATATGGGCTCACCTAAAGGAGTACGCAACACACGGGGTATCTGCAGCTGGAAGGAGCCAGTCCTCAGCACACAGCAGCCAGCGGGGGGGGTCTGCAGGGGGCTGCGAGGCTTTAGTCTCACCTGGAGACAACACTATAGGGCAGCTTAGCTGGAGATGACGGGACAAAAGAGTAGAGGGTCACATGAGAAGGACTGGACAAGGTTTTCAAAACAGTTCTTCCCCAGAATTAGCCAACAACTAAAGAGAGAGGAAGTTAAAGAAGAAGTTGTGTGAAAGCGGGTTCTTGTGAAATGTGTGAGAACATTTCAGACAGAGAGAGATGTCAAGTACGTAAAGCAAATCGTTTTCTGGTACATTTCAACCTGAAATTTGAGATTCATGTTGATGATAATCCTTATGTTGATCACATCATTTGTTGTATTTGTTTTTAAGAACACCTGATTCTGATTTAACTTGCAGTAATTTAATATTTACAGAACTAAATCAGCACAATATACTTTGGATTTGAAACGTTTCCCTGCAGCTCCTCAGCACTTAGTTTTATCTACGTAGGTCTTAAGTCTTGTATGGGAGTTTGCAGTGTGGAACCGAAAGTCTTCTCTGGCTTCACATTTTGCAGATTTCTGCTGCCAGGATACTGACAGCGCCTGACTGATTATATTACTGCTGTGTTAACCTCCATGTTGGAAGTCTGCAGTCGTAGAAGTGAAGTGAAGGAGTTGAAAAAGTGAAGTTTTTATTGATTACGCTTAGGGCTTGGCAGGATGTTACTCCTGGCAACAGTCTCTGTACAGTAGATCCCCCGTGAGCAGGACTGTAGCTGGAGACCTTCAGGGAGGGCCCAACATATTTGACCAGTGGTTCCCACCCTGAGGGTCGTGACCCTGCCCCGACAAATTGGTCACAAGATAAATCTGAGAGTTAAACAAAATGATCACAAAGATTGCAACATCTATTCTCTCTGATGTTTCAATAATATATTTGTTCTACTTATGAAATTCTGGAAAGTTTAACTTTTTCAAGCATATGCAAATTACTCAATCTTAAAAAGGACATTTTGGTTAAAGTGCTGACATCTCACTGTCATATTACACCCTGTGACGAGGAGTCACAAACAGACTTATTTAAAGGGTCAGAATCCAAAACCATTGGAGGGCACTGTAGTAAACTGTATTTGTAATAAGGGTTACCAAATTTGCTTAAAGCTTTACATTGTATTTAATCTCAGATTGAAAAGCTGCTGTTCTGTCTCATTATACTTATTTTATTAGTTTTAATTTTGTATTTTTTTATTGGTCAACTGTTGGTTTAAATGATTATCTTCTTTAAGGTTTTAAAGGTTTACTCACTTGTATTATTTATGTGGCTTTTAAAATGATTTATCTCTAAGGTTTTATTTTTTACAATATGTTTTATTCTGGCTGCAACTTCTGTGGTAAAGTATCTCACAAACTATGCAGCACACTGTGCACCTCAATCTTCTTAATAAATAAAGTTGTGCTTGCTTGCTTATTATTCTGCAGTCAGTAAAGTATCATGAAATGTTAAAAAAACAGGACAAATATGCCATGTACAGTGAATAAAAATGATCATTATTTCAATTTGTGTTAGGTATTGTAGGAACCTTTAAAGTGCATTTGGACATTTCACACATTGACAGCGCTGCAGTATTTGAGGTGATGTTCTGTGCAGTCTACCTGTGGCCTGGTGATGAATGTGATGATGCGATTGAGCTCTGCAGTGAAGGACGGCTCGTCTGATGCCCACGCCTGCAGATCCAGCTTTCTGGGTCCAGTCTGGGAAAATTTGCACATACATGGTATCAATATTAGGGTTGCAAAATTCCGGGAATTTTCAAAGATGGAAACTTTCCACAGGAATAAACGGGAAATTATGGGAATAAACTGGGAATTTTCAAAATTGAAGGTTGGCTTTTCATAGGGAACTTAAGTATAGTTGGAGAAAGTATATTTTAGCATAATCTTGACTAAAAAAAACAGAGGCCATTCAAGTACACTTGAATATCCAG